AGCTCTTTTTTTTTTTTTTTAGTGTATGGCATAATCTTAAAAAATAACTGGTTAAAAGAGGTAGTAACAGTGAAAAGAGAAGTACAGAGACTTATTTGTGCCAGTCTCAGCATTCTTGTAATTTGCCAAAGTGATTTTCATCTTTTGAAGAACTTTTTTGTTTGTTCGAATATGGTAACCTATTTAAAAAGATAGGCTCTGGCAACCCCTTTGGGTTCCCTCCCACTGTGGGAGCTTCTCTGTCCCCTCAAGAAATCCTGCTTCCTCAAAAAAAGGTTCTTAAGGTCAAAGCTAATACCCTTGGTAGCTTTAAGAACATTGTTTTAAGATGCATAATAGATGCGTATCTGGAAGTTTTTTTTAAAATCTAAAATCTTAAAAGAATGGAGAAAACATAGCAGGCCACCTATGTAGTAGAGAATAAGCGGTCAGTTTCCTTAAAAAGGTGTATTTGGAACTTGTTGACTTCTAAGGCAGTGAAAGACTTCACAGTGTTTCTAGAAGCTGCTGATGCAGGTGGTGTTTATCTGTGGTGTGGTCTTCTCTGGCTTTCTGGGAGGCTCTGCTGTCCACTTCCTAGCTCCCTGGCTGCTGTCACTGTCCCTTTATGTCAGTTATCATTCGTTACTGCGGTGACCTCACCAGCGCCTTTCTTGCTAAGCTGGAAGGGTTATGCGGGCAAAGAATTGTGGATGTTTGTTGGCTACTCTATAATGGGTGCTTAATATTTATAGAATGAATGGTATAAACAAATAGAAAACAAGGATTTGTCCCCAAAAGTAATTATTTGGGTTCATGGTGATGTTTAAAGCACTGTAGATCTTCAAATACATTATGACTAATTGAGGAACAGTTGAATTCATTTTAATATTAACATTATTTTAGTGTAACTCATTGTATATCTAGTAACTTGAATTATCTAAAATATTTAATTGCAGTGGCTGTCGCCTGTAATTCTAGCACTTTAGGAGGCCAAGGCAAGAGGATCACTTGAGCCCAGGAGTTTGAGACCAGCCTGGGAAACATAACGAGACTTCATCTCTACAAAAAAAAAAATTTAAAGAATTAGCCGGGTATGATTGGTGCTCACCTGTAAGTCCCAGCTACTCAGAGGAAAGATTGCCTGAGCCCAGGGGATTGAGGTGCAGTGAACCATGATTGTGCTACTGTACTTAAGCCTGGGCTGACAGTGTGAGATCCTAACTCAAAAAAATAAAATATTTATTAAAAATACTGCATTATCCATCTTTTCTGGATAGTCATATACTGAATTCCATTTAGAAAATTATTCTGTGACTGAGCGTGGTGGCTCACGCCTATAATCCCAGCACTTTGGGAGGCCGAGATGAGAGGATTGCCTGAGCCTTTGGGTTCGAGACCAGCCTGGGCAACTTGGCGAGACCTCATCTCTACAATAAATCAAAAAATTAGCTAGGCCTGGTGGTGCACACCTGTAGTTCCAGCTACTTGGAAGACTGAGGTGAAAGGATTGCCTGAGCCCAGCAGGTCAAGGTTGCGGTGGCCGGAAGTGTGCCATTGCACTTTAGCCTGAGCGACAGAGACTCTGACTCAAAAAAAAAAAGAGAAAAAAAATTATTTTGTACTTAAATATTCTTTGATATTTGATAATTATGTGAAATATTTAATTTGTAATTATGAATTCTTCAAACAAAATAATCAAATTATATACTCATTATCTCACAACTTCCTTGGGAAGTAAATTCGTATTTTTCAAAGTTGGTAATGCAGGTGAATTTCCATATGAGAGAGCTACCTAGACCTTACATACCACGTCCTCTCCATAAATTCATAACCCTCTGTGGATCTCTGGCACTTGCATAGGCCTTGCCATCAGCCGATTGGGTGTGGGGCCAGAAATGCCGCCTACGTGATTTACCTTATTCTTGTGTTGAGTTGGGCATAGGTGTAACTTCCATTTATTTTCCCTGGTGAGTATGGGAAGGTTGAAACATTTAGAAATGACTTAGGCTCCTGTAAAATAAAGGAAATCAATATGGAAAGCAAATTCACTTTACTCACAGTACATGTCAAGGTCCTCACTGTGGCCTGTGAGACCTTGTGTGATGTGTCACGCCTCTGACCTGTCCTTTTCTGCCCCTTTCTCACTTTGTTTCATCACGGTGGCCTCCTTGCTTACTTGGGCCTTTCCGCAGGTCCCTATGTTCATGTTGTGCACAGCTTTTCTCTCTTGCTCCAGGTACATGTGTGACTAACTCCCTCGAGGCCTTGCTCAGACCCTTGCTCAGACCCTCTGAATGAGGTCTGCCCCGTCACCCTATATAAAACTGTGCCCACCCCCCAGCGCCCTTGCTTCCCTTTACCCTGCCCTACTCTATCCTTTTTCTTCTACAGAATTGAATCACCTTCTGACACACTATATAATTGACACGACTTATTTATTGCATCATTAGCACTTGTCTCTTGCCACTGAAATGTAAGCTTACTAAGGAAGAGCTTGTTTTTGTTTGTGTTTTATTGTGGTGGTGGTTGCTTTAATCACCAGGTGTATCTCAAGTACCTAGAATACTGGTGTCTGGAGTAACTTGGAAGGTGGGCAGTGATTTTTTTTTCCAAGTTGTAGTCTTACTCTGTCACCCAGGCTGGAGTGCAGGGGCAGGCTCTTGACCACCGCAGCTTCAAACCGCTGGGCTCAGGTGATCCTTCTGCCTCAGCTTTCCAAGCAGCTGGAACTACAGGCATGTGCCACCATGCCCGGCTAAGTTTTGTGTTTGTTGTGGTGGTGAGGTCTCACTAAGTTGCCCAGGCTGGTCTCGAACCCATGGGCTCAGGCAGTCCTCTCACCTTGACCTCCCAAAGTGCTGGGATTATAGGTGTGAACCACCACGCCAGTCCTGACAGATTTTTAAAATATTTCTGGGTTTATGTTTCTTTAGTGGCAAAATTGAATTAGGTTGTATTTTTTTCTCTATAGATTCAACTGTATCATCAGAAACATTTTAAGCTTTATAATTGTAGTAACCCTTTTTCAAAATGTTAGCACTTATGTTAATAATCATATATAAGTATTATTTTTGTTTGGTAAGGTGCTGCATATCTAAAAACAGAGTTGAGCCTAGGGCCTAGCTAGAGTTCTTTTTTTTAAAAAATGTACTTTCGTAAGATAAACATAAGATTTATGATAACACCTAGAATTCAATTAACTAGAAAATTAATTGAGTCTTTAGCTATTATTAGTTTTTTTTTTTTTTTGAGTTGGAGTTTCACTCTATCGCCCAGACTGGAGTGCAGTGGCCGCTCCCGGCCACCGCAGCCTCGACCTGCTGGGCTCCAGTGATCCTGCCGCCTCAGCCTTCCAAGTAGCTGGAATTACAGGCATGCACTACCGCCCGGCTGATTTTTTGATTTATTGTAGAGATGAGATCTCGCTGCCCAGGCGGGTCTCGAACCCGCTGGCTCAGGCAATCCACTCACCTCGGCCTCCCAAAGGCGCGGGATTACAGGCTGAGCCACCGAGCCCGGCTGCCATTATTAATTTTAAAAAGGGTTAGATGGACTGTGTCCTTGTACTTCCCTCCCTCCCTCCTTCCTTCTTCCTTCCTTCCTCACCTTCTTTCTTTCTTCTTTCCCTTATTTCTTCTCTGTCCTTTGGATTATCTGTTGTACGATTTTTATGTTACTTGCTTAGAGAGCAAAAGGATGGCACTTTAAAGTTATTCTCATAAATTTTGCTTTTGAGTCTATATTTTATTCATCATTGTATTCCTTGCATCCAGTAGATTATCTTGTACTTAAAGGTGCTCCTTAAATGTTGATTGAATGAATACATTTGTTTTTATTTTTTCCCCAATACTAAAATTAACAAAGAAAGTGATTTTTAAATTTTTATTATTTTAAGAAAGGTGACTCTTGTGATGGTGGGACTTGATAATGCTGGTAAAACGGCAACGGCCAAGGGAATCCAAGGAGGTAAGCTGAAAATGTTTCTATGCTTTCTGAACTCTGTTGAATTATTTGCTTATTTATGTGCAATTGCTTTACTACATATTAACTGGGTGCAGATGGTATGCACTCTATTACTTTATATTCTTAGTGTGCTTGAGAGCAATGTGGTGAATAGGCTCTGGCTTAATGGTACCATTGTTGAAAGGTTTGGGTTTCAGATGTAAATAGTTGCAGAGATGCACAGGTTCCTTGTGGGCTTTGGTTAACTAGGGGGGATCATGTCTGTGTTCTAGACAATAGGAAGGAAAATGATTTTTTTTTTTTTTTTTTTGAGTTGGAGTCTCTCAGTCTCCCAGACTGGAGTGCAGTGGCCGCTCCCGGCCACCGCAGCCTCGCCTGCTGGCTCTAGCAATCCTTCCGCCTCAGCCTTCCGAGTAGCCGGAATTACAGGCACGTGCTACCATGCCCGGCTGATTTTTTGATTTATTGTAGAGGTGAGGTCTCGCTGCCCAGGCAGGTCTCAAACCCGCGGGCTCCGGCAATCCACTCACCTCAGCCTCCCAAAGGCGCGGGATTACAGGCTGAGCCACCGAGCCTGGCTGGAAAATGATTTTAAAAGAATTATATGTCCCCGCTTTTAAGGATGCTCATCTTCTCCTTATATTTTCTTGGCCAGAACTTTGTCACATGGCTACACTTAGATGAAGAGAGGTGGATGTGTAGCTCACCAACATGGTTCTCTTTGTACCTCTTGATGCTTTTTTCAGTATGATTTGTAATTTTTGTACTTATGTTGAAGATAGGGCATCTATGTCATTAAAGGGCTTTATATCATGTATGTAACCTCTCATTGAATGTATTTAGTTGGGTAGTCTTAATTTACGCTTTGTATTACAATATAGCAGTGTCTGCTGAGGTTAGATCTATCACCAGTCAGGCATCTTATTGGTATGAATTGGGAGAAAAGGCTAACATGTATTTGTTCCTGAAAAGCTCACTGTTGGAGAAAAACATTTTGTCACATCCAAATCCTGCTATGTAACATTAGATGTAAATTACTGTCTATGGATTCTTCTAAAGCTTTTTCATAACTATTTTGTAGGTTGTATCTTCAGAGTACTCACTGTCATCATCTAAGCCAGGGGTCAGCAAACTTCTGTAAACAGTCAGAGCGTAGCTATTTTAGATCTTGAGGCCATATGGTCTCTTTCTGAACTACACAGCCCTAACATTGTGGTACAAAAGCAGCTGTAGACTATGTAAACAAATGAGCGTAGCCATGTTCCAATGAGCATTTATTTAGGGACATTGAAATTTGAATTTTGTGTAATTTTTCTGTTATGAAATATTCTTTTCCTTTTATTTTTTTCAATCATTTGAAAATGTAACACACAGTCTTAGCTTGTGGGCCATACAAAAACAATTGAAAAGCCAGATTTGACCTGCAGGCCATGACACAGCATCAGAACTTCTTCCCGGCTTCCATTCCTTCAAAATATTACATTCAAGGGAGCAGGCACTAAAAATCTGTTAATCAGTTATCTAACTTGTGTGTACGTAGAGTGTCCTCTTTTTGGTAGACCCTTTGTCTTTTATGTTCCACCTCCATATGTTCATCAGTTCCTTTTTCTGAGTCTAGAAAATGCTTGAGCTATCACATCATAAACCAAAAGTCAGAGCTGCTTCAGCTTTGAGCCCCCTTGTTTTCTATTTCCGTTCTTCATTTCATATTTGCTCTTCTGCCTACTCCAGGGACTGACCAATTTTCTACTTGGAATTTTTAAAAAAAATTCTAGTGTTATAGAACCTCAAGTTTTCCAAAGTAAGCCTTGTCTTGCCCTTATATGTTTGTTTATGTTGTTATTACTTATCTTACAGAGAGACTGTCTACTTATCTTTTAAAAAGTATTTCTGTTAAATAGTCTCCTCTTTTTTTTTTTTTTTTTAATAATTAATCAGTATTTTTATTATAGTTTTGTGGGGTACAGTTAAGGGTTAGGTGTACAATTACGTTTCATTCAGACACCCTGTTGATAAGAGGTGTTTTCCCAGCCCCAGACAGATATTTGCTACTGTTAATCCCATCTCCCTCCCCCCCATAGTTTCCTAGTACCGTCAGTCATTTTCTTATAGTATTACATTGGATGTAAAAATATGGAACGCTTCACGAATTTGCGTGTCATCCTTGCGCAGGGGCCATGCTAATCTTCTCTGTATCGTTCCAATTTTAGTATATGTGCTGCCGAAGCGAGCACAATAGTCTCCTCTTTTAAAAAGTTCTTTTGAAACCCTAGCTGTCCCCAGCCATCACCACCCAGTCAATAGAACTGATCATGCCCTCTCTTTTGGTCTACTCTTGCCAGTGCTAGTTGTATCACTACTTTAATTGCACTTTGTTTGTGTATCTCTCCACTTCTCCAGACTGTCAATTCTCTGAGGGCAGTTTTACTCGCTCTGGTGTCCCAGTTGTGTACTTCATGCCCCTTAGGTGTAGCAGGCAGCCTTCTTTAAAACATCTCTCTCATGACTTCTGATTTTCTACCTATTGCTGATTTTTCTCTTGCCTTTTGAACTTTTTTCCCCCATGGGAAATTGAGAAAAAGGTATTCACTAGTTTCTTTTAAGATCTTAGTGGTTGGTTATTGTAGTCTTTTCACATGCCTAGATTAAAAAAATCTAGGATTCTCTGACTATCCAGTAGTGTTTCCTAATCTTCTTCTTCGTGTGAATTGTTCCCTAGCATTGGAGGCTATTAACATGTCTTCATTATATTGTACTTAGTTGTTGATATATATTTCCCCAAGACAATAAGAGGATGGATCTTATTAATCTTTGTATTTCTAGAACCTTGCACAGTACTTTACGTATAACAGATGCTTAGAAAAGAACTATCAGTTAGATATTTGCGTTTTATCTTGGCCTTTCTAGAGATTGTGTCTTACCACATATATTTTACTGAAATTCTCAGGATTGGGGACCATGTATCTTTGTACTCCTGGTTCTTATATGATGACTTTCTATAATAGGCCCTTGATAAATGATTGAAAGGATGGATGGAGAAATACATGAAAGGACAGCAGTTTGGTGATTAGTATTGAGCCCTGTATGCTATGTGCTGAGTGCTAAGGACACAAAGATGTGGTCCCACCTGTTGGGAAGGCTTAAGGTATTGCAGAAAGTAGAATATTATGATAGAGGTGAAGGTAATAGTGGAAATGGGAAGGAATCATCAGGAAAAGGTTTATAGGGGAAGTTGTACCTGGACATTGAGTCTTAAGCTTTGAAACACAAATGCTGAGTAGAAACCGAGCAAAAGAAACAGACCTTTGAAGTCCCAAAGAGCTCTGAGTGCTGGCTCTGCCCGCCATATAACTTTGAGTCAGAGTCCTTGATCTTAATTGGTTTATTGGGAATATTGCCATCATTTTAATCTGTGCTTACATCTCCTCCCTCTGCCTAAAACATTGTTCTCTCTTCTCTGTTACGATTCTCAGTCTTAACTTGCTCCTCCTCCTTTTTATACTCGTCCACTTGAATTCCCTCACACTCTCCTTTCCGGCTATTTAACAGAACATACAAATTCTGTGTTATTTCCACTAATATTCTGTCTCTCTGTGTTACACTGTTTGTTCTTTGAGGACAGCAACCTTATCTTATTCATCTTTGCATCTTGATGCCAAGCAAAGTCTGGGTGCCAAGTAGGTGCTCGATACATGTTAGTTCCCTTCCCTTATTCTTACTCCAACATAGTTGGCCTGTTTTCACGGATGATTTCCTGGGGGTCCTCCCAATTTATACTCAAAGGCAACTGCCTATTTTATCTCTGCAAACCAGTTCTGGCTAGGACTAGATCACATTTTAAAATGTGTAATCCTTTTTCTGGAAAATCTGGCTACTTATATTAGGTCTAACTTTGCCCTTTTCTCTTTTTAGCTGATAAAAGAATCAGCAAAAATGTGACTGTGGTGGCTCTGCTGACTTTCTTGGGAGCTATGTAAACTGCATGAAGGTGCTTAAAAGGGTGGTGTGTTGCAAGTCTATTTCAGTCACACCTAAGCCTAGTAAATGCCTTTGATCTTTGTAGCAGCAAATGTTTTTGTTAAATGTGGGAATAAGATGCTCTAAACCAGTGTTGTTCATTAGAACTTTTTGCAGTGATGTTCTGTTGGCTGTGTCCTGTAGACTAGGCCACTAGCTACAAGTGACTTTGAACACTTGAAATGTAGCTGATACAACTGAGAAACTGAATTTTTAGTGTAATATTAATCTATTTAAATTTTAAATGTGTCATGTGGCTTGTGGCAACTGTTTTGACCATCCAGCTCTGAACAGAGTCCCATGGGCACTATTGATAGTGAATTCCAGCGATAAAGGGAGAATGAAAGAGATGAACATGAAGCTTGAACTCTTCTTGATAACCATGGAGTCAGTAGGTGCATTAATTGTTCATGAGTTCTCTCTCTTCCATGTCTTTCTTTTTATTTTCACACCACTCTGAAAAATGGCAATTATTTTCATTTCCAGCCAGGCTAGAGACTTTTGCAAGATGAATCATAATAAGGCACTACTTTAGTCACCTTAATTATGTCATTGGTCTGGTCCATAACTGGGGTGGGTCCTGTTCTCAATCTTCAGAGCCCTCTTCAGTCTGCATTCGTAATCTTAAGGATTTCCTGCGGCCACAATGTTCTATTTTTTCGTATCCCTGGGCTTTGCTGTTTCCTTTACTCAGATCACTCTTCTGGCTGTTTGAATCCTGTCTAGCTTTAAGGCCAAAGTTTCATCTCTCCTATGAAGTCTTTTATGACCCTCAGGGACCTTTTTTTTTTTTTTTTTTTGAGTTGGAGTCTCACTCTGTCACCCAGACTGGAGTGCAGTGGCCACTCCCGGCCACAGCAGCCTCAACCCGCTGGGCTCCGGCGATCCTTCCACCTTAGCCTTCCAAGTAGCGGAACCATAGGTATACGCTACCACGCCCAGCTAGTTTTTTTATTTATTGTAGAGATGAGGTCTGGCCAAGTTGCCCAGGCAGGTCTCGAACCCGTGGGCTCAGGCAATCCACTCACCTCAGCCTCCCAAAGGTGCGGGACCACAGGCTGAGCCACTGAGCCCGGCCTCAGGGATCTTTTAAATCTCTTGTTGTCATTACTACTCCTTGGCAATTATAATCGTATATTTCTTTTGCTTTTGTTTTTTGAGTTGGAGTCTCACTCCGTCGCTTAGACTGGAGTGCAGTGGCTGCTCCCAGTCACTGCAGCCTCAGCCTGCTGGGCTCCAGCGATCCTTCCGCCTCAGCCTTCCAGGTAGCCAGAATTACAGGCACGCGCTACCACGCCCGGCTAATTTTTTTGATTTATTGTAGAGATGACGTCTCGCCAAGTTGCTCAGGCGGGTCTCAAACCCATGGGCTCAGGCAGGCAATTCACTCGCCTCAGCCTTCCAAAGTGCAGGATTACAGGCTGAGCCACAAAGCCCCGCTATAATCGTACATTTCCAGTGCCTTCTTCCTTCTTTGTGTATGGAAATTTACTGGAACATCCAAAAAAAATGCGCTATAGAAAGAATGAAATCAACTTTCAATTTGTAGGCTTCTCTCAAAAGTCTCTTTATTCCAAATATAGCTTTAATTCAGCTAATTTAAAAAGAGTGGTCTTACTCTTTTTCTTATTCTTTTACTCTCCTAAACTTTCCTATTCTCTAAATATTCATAGTGTTCTTTGTAATTCACAGAAGTTGTAACAGTTTCTGGGCATGGCTATGGTATATAAAGGCTGGTTTTTTTATTGTTTGTAACTTGCAGAATAAATAGTCTGAAAAGTGAGAGTTCATTCATTTATTCATTCAACAGATACTTATTAAGTAAATATCATTATATACTAGATGCTAGTGTTATATCAGAAAAGAAACCCCAGAAGTTCTTAATCTGCATGGAGTTTAAGTTCTAGTTGGATATTCTTTAGTGTTTAACCTCTCCCCAAACCAGTATGTTCAGATGTACTGTTTATTATATAAGCAGATGATGACCATTTCACTTAGTATTAAGGTGTGATGATAAGATTTTTGTGTCATTTAAATTGTATAGGTAAATTAATGTTACTAATTTAAAGTCTAAAGAGTGTTTTTTATTTGTTTGTTTTTTCTGTGTCATTTGAAACAGAATCCCCAGAAGATGTAGCTCCTACTGTTGGATTTTCCAGAATTGACCTTAGACAAGGAAAGTTTGAAGTCACCATCTTTGATTTGGGAGGTGGAAAAAGAATTCGGGGAATCTGGAAGAATTACTATGCTGAATCCTATGGGGTAATATTTGTTGTGGATTCCAGTGATGAAGAGAGAATGGAAGAGACAAAAGAGACAATGTCAGAAGTACTAAGACATCCTAGGATATCGGGAAAACCTATATTGGTGTAAGTACTGTCAGTGTCATTGTAAATGGAAGGGCAGCGACATGCCAGTAAAGAAACACATCTGTTATAAGGCTGGGTGTGGTGGCTTACACCTGTAATCCCAGCACTTTGGGAGGCTAAGATGGGTGGACTGCTTGAGACCAGGAGTTTGAGACTAGCTGGCCAAAATAGTGAGACTTGGACTCTACCAAAAAAAAAAAAAGTTTAGCTGGGCATGGTGGCATGTGCCTGTAGTCCCAGCTTCTCAGGAAGCTAAGGCAGGAGGATTGCTTGAGCCCGGGAGTTTCAGGTTACAGTGAGCTATGATTTGTACCACAGCACTCTAGTCTGGGAGAGAATGAGACCCTGACTCTTTTTTTTTTTTTGAGTTGGAGTCTCACTCGGTTGCCCAGACTGGAGTGCAGTGGCCGCTCCCGGCCACCACAGCCTCGACCTGCTGGGCTCCGGCGATCTTTCCACCTCAGCCTTCCAGGTAGCTGGAACTACAGGTGCGCGCTACCACCCTGGCTAATTTTTTTGAATTATTGTAGAGATGAGGTCTTGCCAAATTGCCCAGGCAGGTCTCGAACCCGCAGGCTCAAGCAATCCACTCACCTCAGCCTCCCAAAGCACGGGATTACAGGCAGAGCCACCGAGCCCGGCTGAGACCCTGACTCTTAAAAGAAAAAACAAATAAAGAAAAGAAATTTACCTGTTACAAAATACTGAATAAGCTAAAATAGTCATGCCCTAGTATAATAAAATGTGTATAAGCTGGGTTTGATAGCTCACGCCTGTAACTATCTTATCCTAGCACTTTGGGAGGCAGAGGTGAGAGGATTTCTTGAGCCTAGGGGTTCGAGAACAGCCTGGGCAAGACCTTGTCTCTACAGTAAATCAAAAAAATTAGCTGGTGTGGTGGCATGCGCCTGTAGTTCCAGCTACTTGGAAGACTGAGGTGGCAAGATCGCCTAGCATGTTGAGGCTGTGGTAGCTGTGAGCGTGCCACTACACTTCAGCCTGGACAACATAGTGAGACTCCAACTAAAAAAGAAAAAAAAATGTGTATGTAATTAACTGGGACTTGTTGGTATAATGAGGTTTTGTTATAATGCTGTCTGTAGGGATAAAGGGTTATGGATATATGAATAGAATATATGAGTATTGATCAAGTCTTAAAATCAGGTCTCCTGTATATTCAGGTATAAACCCATTGTTTTATTTGATGATTTACTTTTCATTGAATTTTGCATTTTGAAATAGTCTATTAACAAGGTTCTAGAATATTTTTTATTTTTTTCCTCTTGCGATAACTTATATTTTACCTTTGCCTTTGTCCTTTTTTTCTTGACAAGTACTGTTTGAAAGTTATTTAAATGGTTTCTTTTCTTTCTTTCTTTTGTTTTTTTTTTTTTGAGTCTAAGCCTCACTCTGTTGCCCAGGCTGGAGTGCAGTGGCACGCTCACGGCTACCACAGCCTTGACCTGCTGGGTTCAGGTGATCCTTCCGTCTCAGCCCTCCAAGTAGCGGGAACTATAAGTGGTTAATTTTTAATTTATTGTAGAGATGAGGTCTTGCCACGTTGCCCAGGTTGGTCTCCAACCTATGAGCTCAGGCAATTCACTTGCCTCGGCCTCCCAACGTACTGGGATTACAGGATGAGCCACCAAGCCCGACCCTAAATGGTTTATTTTCTAATGTCGCATTGATTTTTTCAATTTTCACTTCTACATTTACATATTGGACACGTGACCTGTGTTATCAGCTTAGACATACACTTACATCATTTTCTCTAGGTGCCTGAAATTTTTTATTTTATTTTATCATTTTTATTTTAAAGATGTGGGGTACAGTTCAGGGTTAGGTATACAAATGATCATTGTGTAGGTAAAGATTGGGCCTCACTTTGGTCCCCACTTCACCTGGTTTGAGATCAGGTATCCTTTTTGAACATTTTTTAAAAACAAAGTGACAAAAGACTTCTGCACAACAGGCCGTCATAGCATTTATATGCGGTAAACACCAGATGGCACTGTAACTGTGATGGCACTGTAACTTAGAGCCTACTGAATGTGTGTGCCCTTGCCTTCTTGTTCCTTTTCCCTTGTTCTTGTGGTTTACCATTAAGGATTAAAAAAAAAAAAACCAACCTATCATGTGGTTAGAAGAAAAATTGTAAGTAGTGTTTCTCGGTGGTCCTCAGCAGTAAATGAACATTTAAAATTTTTTATTTTAATTTTTTTGAGTCAGAGTCTAACTCTGTTACCCAAGCTGGAATGCAGTGGAACGCTCACGGTCACCGCAGCCTCGGCCTGCAGGGCTTAGGTGATCCTTCTACCTCAGCCTTCCAAGTAGCTAGAACTACAGATGTATGCCACCATACCCGGCTAATTTTTTCATGTATTGTGGAGATGAGGTCTTGCCAAGTTGCCCAGACTGGTTTTGAACCTCTGGACTCAGGCAATCCTCTCTCCTCCGCCTCCCAAAGTGCTGGGATTACAGGCATGAACTACTGTGCTTAGCCTAAATGAACATTTTCAAATGAGTTGTTCTGGAAATTCTAGAGGGTAACTACACAATAAATAAAATTAATAAATTATATCATCTATTAGGTGGTGAGTGTATTGAAAACTATGCCGCAGGTAAAAGGATATAAAAAAGCTTGTGGTGGTGACTACCCAAGCACGTTGCTCCTACAGTTAGGATAGTCACATTAGGCCTCATTGAGAAGCTGCCGTTTGAGATGAGGGAGTCGGTCATGCAGGTAGGTATATGTGGAAAAGTCTGGAAGTAGGGGCATGTAACTGGTTGTGCCTACGGTGATTACTGAGTAATCAAATAATTGTCAGCAAAATACCTGGTTTCAGTTCTGTACCTTTGTCAGCTCGTGAATTTCCTGAATAGGAAAAAAAAATACACAACTAGGTTGATTCCTTCACCATTATAAATCTGTGGTCAGTGAGACCTCCCAAAGAAACAAGAATTAGTTATGGACAGTATATATAGTTATGAAATATAGACTGGTTTGCCATGTGATTAGCTTTTTTCAAGGGAGTTTTATAACCATAGAATTTTTAATAAATGTAAGATGCTTTTTGAAATGCATGTGCTTCAAAATATACAAAATGTACACAAAAATACACATTCTTAATAAATTTCAAAGATGTAAGGAAAAGATTTTTCTGTATCTTTAAAAATTGGTGTATAATAGTTGTACAAATTTAGAAAAGAATGTTTTTAAAAAATGATTGACTTGCCATCCTGAGCTCAGGGGTTCGAGAACAGCTGGGCAAGACCTCTTCTCTACAATAAATTTGAAAAATCAGCCAGGTGTGGCGCACACCTGTAGTTCCAGCTGCTTGGAAGACTGAGGCAGAAGAATTGCCTGAGTCTGCAGGTCGAGCCTGTGGTGGCTGTGAGCGTGCCACTGCATTCCAGCCTGGACAACAGAGTGAAACTCTCAACAAAGTAACATTTTGTATTCTCTTTTTATTTGTTTGTAAACACCTCTTGTATGTCTGCCCAAGCCCCATATTTAGAAGTTCTCTGTTTACCTTTTCCTCTCTGGCCTACAGTTAATTTCTCATCGGTACTACTGTCTTCATGTCGTTTGTGTCTCTTCCCTCCTCTTTATTTTATAGTGTTACCTCCCTGCAACCTGCCTTCCCTTCTCCCTGTTACTGAGAGCAACAGTCTCCTACTGTCTCTTGCTACCAATCTTGCCCTCCTCTAGCCTCTCTTTTTCCATTGCCAGCAGGAGTGCTTTTCTTTATTTGATATTTTTCACATTGCAAAGCCAGTACATACTTGTTGTTATAACAAGTGAAACAATGCCAGAGTAGTAAAGAAGATGGAACTACTTATAAAAATACCCATTTGGTGATTTTACTATTTCTTTGTTTAAAGTCTTTTAGGTTCCCTGCATACCTCCATGCAGACAGGAAGTTCTGTTTTCTAAAATAATCCTAGCATAGTGCCTAGCATGTAACAGGTCTGGATTGACAGAGCCACTGGACAGCAGGTGCTAAGCTCAGTGCTGGAGATGGCAGTGGAGAGGTGAGCAGAGGACACCTGTGTGAGGAGTCTGGCGACGGTACTCTTTGTTGTGCAGCTGCATCCTTCCTGCCTACAGAAATCTGGACCGCTCATTTGCCAGATACATTATCAGCGTCTAATTTCTTCTGTTCACCCCTCATCTGACCTAAACTAATTGACGTCGGACCTGCAAAACCTGTCAGAACTCATTTTAATACCCTCATAACTTTCTCCTCTTGCTCCCCTAATCATGATCAAACAGAAGACTAGAGACCTCTGAAAGATTCAGTCATTTAGTAGAAGAAAATAAACCTAAAGAGTTAGATTCTTGCCTGGAACCACAAAATTACAAATTGCTGGAGCCAGAATTCACCATTACTTGTGGGAAGCTGAGTGGATACCCTGTGCTTGGCGTCCAAATACCAGCTTGACGGCATGTGATTGCAAGGGATGCCTTGGCCAGGTTTCACTTACTGTCATAGACTTGAGTTTTTCCTTGAAAAGTCAGATTCAGAATATCCCTTCCTCAGAAGTTATCTCTGGTAGTTATGTAGCATTTATTTATCAGCATAATATTCTAATTAAAAATATCCTGAAATAAGTGGTGAAAAGTTGAAAAACTATTGGGTTAGGGAGAGAAAAGTGAGTCTGGAACCTGGTTTCTAAGAACTACTGTGAATTTCTTTATAATTTTGACAAGTCACTTTTCTACTTTGAATTTAGTGGTTAAATGCCTCTTTTGTAATATAAGTAACTGTAAAATATTCTATTTATTTGTATTCAGCTGTATATAGTGACCTGAACCAGAACCAATTTCAATAAAAAAGTGAAAGTGATTTGCATTCTAGCTAAAGAGAGTAAAAATAAATGCCATGCTTTGTGATCGTGTTAACCTGTTTACTTAGAAAGTCCTTTTTCTCTCATACTGACTTTAGAAATTAACTTTAGTCTCTACTCTGATTAACTAAGGTGTGAATTATGTTGTC